TGTTTTGCCTCAAAGACAAGTATTACAAGAACAATAGTGCTCAACAAAACAGGATCTATTTTCTTTTTATCATGGTATCGAGTATCATATCAAAGTCTACAATATATCATGACAACCCTTGAGCTATCCATCTGTCCTAATCACAGTAACAAAACACTGTGTCAAAGAACGAGACAGACAGGGGCATAAGATTTGGTTCCTCAATCTATTCTTATTTTCAAATAGGTCATTCAGTCCTGATTCATGACATGCTGAGGACAGTCTGTAAACCCCACTTCCTTGAGGAAGTGACTCTGCTAACTGTATTTGCCAGTAACACCATAAACACCATTAAGATACAATTCAGTGGTGGGCAGATCTTTACTTTGGCTCCATATTGTTCAAATTATTCCAGATGAGCCCACAACTGGGACCATTTCATATTTACAATTTGGAAAGTATGCAGACTCTTTGAAATCTTTCACATTTTGTCATCAAACTGCATTCAGCACTCTGTTAAATCTCTGACCTTTTGCTATGACCTGTATAATTGACCTAATCTTTGAGATGCTTCTACACCTTGACTGGAGCCAACCCGTCGTAAATTCAACTCAGTGGAAATTATCTGGAAAGACACACATCAACTGGTTGCTCAAATGAACAAACTATGTATATCAGAGCAAATACTGAGTTATGAGGTCAGAGGAACTGCCTGCAGACCTCAGAGGCAGGATTGTATGGAAGCACAGATCTGGGGATGGCTGGGGAAATGTAGTTTATAGTAACCTAGGTGGTATCAGGTACTGTATCTATCAAAACACTGGAATTTCTCTCTCTGAAAGTGCTGTTTCAGGTGAATTAGCACTAACACTCAACTACTTTGCAGTTCCACAACAGAATTCTTCATTTTTGTCACTAAACTTTATTAACACTGGTCCCAGACATCAAACCCAAGTTCCCATAGAGCAGGATCACGGATGTATGACTGTAGACAACTTTACACACTAATGCAATTGCCTACTTTTTGTTTTCCATAGAACACCAAAAGCACATAGACAGAATGACATGGCCCCAGTCTGAAAAAAACCCTAATCCATCTGAAACCACTTCATTTTACGTTAGCCGTTTACTTTCCTTCCTCTCCTTGAAACAGGCTGTGCTTCAGCAAACATTGTGGTAAGAGGTGTCAAGTCAAGTCTGATTATACTCCTACACCACTTAGAGCCCTAATTTGACTGTAGGTCTGGTCCTGAGCCAGACTTTAGGCAGTGTCTCTTTTTGTTTAATGATGTCTGCTGGTTAGTCAGGAGAGGTAGAAACAAGAGACAGAAACAGGTAAAAATGTAACATGGTTGATCTATTGCAAGCGAAAATTGCATTGCAGGAGAGTGAATGAGGTTGGGCCCAAATATTGACCAGTGGGCAGTCTGTTTATACTGGGGCAATCGGAGTCGAACGCAATGCTTGGATTGGCTGATAAAAACATTCTGTGAAAACATGACATATTCAGTGATTCTAGAATATACTTCCACGTGTGATGGATAATGTAAGTGTGCAAGTTCCCCAATCCCCCAATTCATAAACTGAATTGCAGGGGTGGGACAACAGGGGCGCTGGCCCCAGCTGAAATATGATTGGCCCCTGAAGTCCCCCTGTCCTGTCCTGTCAGTAGTCAACTAACAATACATACATATGACAATTTGTTAAGAATTGAAGAACACAATGTGCTTGAACAAGGAACAATTTCTAACCCTATTGATTGACATGTGGCTCACATAGAGCTAACAGTAAACAAGGCATGACTTAAATATGCACCTACTGAATCAGGAATTGTTCATGGGTGTTATATGGGAATATAATTTCCCCCTGTGTGTAAATTGTGGGCCCTTTATGGCCCCTGCTGTAGAAATATCCTAGATCCACCACTGTGTATTACAGAACCTGACTCAACCTTTCACTGTGTCAAATAAATTGATTGATTTTCCTGCTGTTATGATCTGTTATGATCCTTCACACCATGTCTTCATATTCCCATGTCTCTTATCACGGACAGTGTCTAGCAGCAGTGGGTTGACATTACCTGCAGAAGAGGAGTCTTCATGGTCGGAGCTGAGGTATCCATCACTCCTCCTGTCCGGGGTGCTGCATCCGGAGCCTCGGGAGGCTCTGCGGTGCATGTGCGGGAGGGACGGGGACATCTTGCTGTCGTCGCCGGAGTCGAAGTCCCTGCTGTGGCGGAAAAGCCGCCGGGTGTCCCGGTAGGGGTCCTGGCTGTCCCTGTGACCGCTCTTAGGTACCAACAAGTTATTCCTCACGAAATTCTCATTCAGCTCCGCGTCCTCGTACTCTCTGTCGCTGCTGTCCTCGTTGTCATTGGGCGGAGGGACAGGGCCCTCGGGAATGAAGGTTATCTGCGGCGGGACCGGGATGGGGACGGGCTTACCTTTCTTGCCGCTGAACCTGCCCCGCTCGCGGCCGAAGGGTCCGGGGACTCCCGCTATGTTACCTGCAGCCTGGAGCTTCAAGCCTCCGTCGCCCTCGTCGTCCCGCCGCTTCCTAACATCCCCCGGGTTGTGGAGGACAAACGTGTCCGCGTTCGAGTTCTCATCTTTACCCTGAAGCCTCTGCGTCTCGGTTCTCCTCTGCCTGGACACGGTGGTCTGCAGGTAGATCACCTTGAATTTCTCCTCCGCCAGAGCCTTCTGCAGCCGCTTCAGGTTGGACTTACACGCCTCCAGCTCCGACTCGATGTCCTCCACAGACTTCAGGTCCATGCGAGGCACTTCTCCGTCGGGGAATTCATTCCTCCAGTGTTTGGCGAATTCCTCCTGTTCCCACATGTCCGGGTGTTGGCGGCGGGCTGCGAGAGAGCCGCGGTGCGCTGAGGAGACAGTCGGGGAGGACGAAGCTGATCGTTCCGTGTCTTAGCTCTGCGGTCCCCACTCTTCACTGTGTCCAGAGGAAACTGACTGAAGACATTAACTCTGTGTTGCCATCTTCTTCCTCCCACCCGTGCTGACAGATAGCGTGTGTGTGTGCGCGGTGAGACGTGCGTGTGATGCACGTAAAACTACTTTGAAAAGTTTCCAGACTTCCTGTAATCGAGAAGTGCTGCCTTTGGGTGCAGCTCGGACAAGTGCGGCACACACCTTAAGGCAGGTGCGTCAGAGTTTGGCTGAAAACAACCATCATACCTCAAAGAGCTGATAGTACACCATCAGCCCACTAGAGAACTTCGCTCCCAGAATTCAGGCTCGCTTTTCGTCCCTTAAGTCTCTAAAAGTAGAGTAGGAGCCAGAGCTTTCAGCGATGGTTTCAATCTCCCAGTTTCAGGTTGGGATGCAGACACCCTCTCTATGTTTAAGATTTGGCTTAAAACCTTCCTTCATGATAAAGCTTATAGTTAGAGCTGGTCCAGGCTCGTCTTGGACCATGATGGTGGATCATGGTGGTGGATCCTGATGGTGGCACTGGATCATGACGATGGATTGTGGATTATGGTGGCATCTGATTGTGGTGGTGAATCCTGATTGATGTGGCAACTGATGATGGATCTTGATGGTGGATCCTGAAAGTGAATCCTGATGGTCGACCCTGATGGTGAACCATGATGGTGGATCCTGATGATGGATCCTGATGGTGGATCCTGATGGAGGATCCTGATGATGGATCCTGATG